GGACTGATATTCATGAGGTCTGTATCCCTGAAAATACAAAAAGCATAAAAGAGAAATTCTAAATTGTTCACCTGAGCCCTGTATGACTACAATACTGTTAATTGGCCCATCCTGAAACAGACAGGAGACTTGGCAGAATCTGTGTGAAAACAGAGACTTCTTGATTTGTTATCCTGACTTCAATTTTATAATAACTTTTAAGCAGCTTCAAATGTAAGATGAAAATGTTTTCAGAAACCAGTCATGCTATGTAGCCAATGGAAGCTTTTACACTGAGAATAATGAGTCAAGAAAATCCTAATGTCCTTGTTTATCTTGCAGATGAAGTCCATGCTCATGGAGGCAATTACCAGCTTCACCATTTTGATACACCCAACTCCACTGATGGTCACCACTTCCAGCCCCAATTCTAGCCAGTTGCTACCAAAGCTGATAGTCTCTGCATATAAATGAAACAAACATTTCAAAAGTAAGCAGAACAGTGCATGTAAGGTATAACCATCTCTACTTTTTGTCATTCAAATGTAATTATTACTTCCTGTTCTTATGAAAAAAATGTTCATAAAAATTACTTTGAAAAAAAGCTCAATGTTTTCATAGTATGTGATTTATAAAAAAAGAAAAACTTGAGAAGAATAAGCAAAGCAGATTACTATATTCTGCTATCTATTAACCCTGACCTCAGAAGAAAATTTTGCTACCATCCATAGTTTCCACTTATTTAGGAATCTGCTGGGAAATGAACTGATTGCACTGCTATCAAACTAGTAGGAGTAGGATGGACTGAGGTTCCCCTCCCACTGGCACTTTTAGATTAAAGGTCTCCTCACCACATTTGGCAGGCCTATCACGGAGATGCTTTTCTCCCCGTCTGACAGATGGACCTATCAGTCCCTAGCAGACCAGGTTCATAAAAACTTGCTCACTCCCATTTACACCAGAGTAACTCCTAGAACAACTCAGCAAAGCATATCAGCAAATACCAAGTTAAGGAACACAGAAAGCTTGGGTCTTCCCATTTCTTTTGTATGTGGCAAAGATCCAGTTTGCTGCTGAAGGTAGGATGTAGAACTAGGAGCAAGCTCTTCTCTTGGTACAACTCTTATTTGTGGCACCAGAGTATTTTGCAAACACTGTTAAATTCAGGCTCACAAGACTTCTGTCAAATGATAAATATTTTTATATTTCACATAAGAAGACTGATGAAGAGACTGTTACCCAAAGACAGGCAAAAAACCTAAAACAAAATTGGAAACAGAAAGTAAGTCTTTAACCAACAGATCACATATGACTTTGAAGAGGATGCTTTGTACTGGGCCTAACTGGAAAGGTTTTGGTGGCAGGGGGCTAGCAGGGTGGGTTATGGTGGCACAAAGTGGATATATACACCATGTATATATACACACCATATATATGGTGGCATACTGTCCTATGCCATCCAGCTACTTCCATCTGCCCTAACATCACTGCAAAAAACCCACTGTGTGCCAAAATTTCCACTAGAGAAGCACGCGGTGCCTCTGCTCACAAATATTTAAGAAAACAGCAGCTGTTAAGAGAAGACAAATGGTGGCACTGTTGGGGTGTTGTTGGAGACATATTCTTGGAAGGAAGGTGTGCCAGAGCAGACACAGCCCTGCAGTGGCTGTGGGTCATGGGTGCACACCAGAGCAGAGATGCTGTGGAGGGACTATGTCCCACAGAAAACCCACACTGGGGTGGAGGAACACAAGTAAGAAGCAAGAAGAAAAAGACACGCCCCAGTCTTCGTGGGGCGTTGCCCCTCACTTCACCAAAGGGATTAGGAGTATCCAAATGTAACCTAGCAAACTCAAGGTAAGTGGAGACCTGCAGGCAGGGAGAAGTTTTTTACTGAATTAGAACCCAATGAAGAAAGGCGTTTCTTTGCCAATTGTTTGGTTTAATTATATTTTTTCTCTTTAATACACAGATCAGCAATCAAAGGCTTTGTTACCTGGTAATAAATTAAGTAAACTTCATGAACAATGAGAGTTTTACTTATGATGTGCTTATGAAGTTATAGGGTATATTTCTTAAGTCCTACATACTGTAGAATACATTGTCAGAGGAAAGGCTTCACAGGAAGGAAGCAGAGGGGCTAATACTTGCTGTAGCTCTGCTAATGTTTGAACAAATTTATGTGCTAAGGCAGCTGCATAAAGATTCTCGCTAAAAAAATATATTTAGATGCTGTGTTTGAAGTTTGACAAGCTGTCACCTACAAGGGCTGAGGGTGGGATTGGGGTAATAGGCACCCCCATGTCTGTGGTGTTTTGACCATTGGAAGAGACTCAGAAGTTAATTAAGGTGAACTACTGACAGTGGGAAATAATGCTGGTCACACAGGGAAATGGCACCAAACAAATAACACATCTTAAAGCTAGGTATGTTTCCCCATAGCCTCCCCATGAAGGCATAATTTAAAAGTCTTCTGAGAGCTCTCATGGTGCTGCATTCTCTGCTGGTTGCAAAAAAGAAATCATATGCTTTCAGACATCTTCTTTTTCCCTAAATTAACCAATTGGACATGTGTTTTTTTCCTCAGGACCCCCTGAGGGGGTCAGTGGGGTCAGTGACCACGTCAGTTTCCTCTTTTGTCCCCATATAAAGCAACTCTATGAAAGACTCAAGAATCTGTCAAATTATACTACTGATGGGTATGGGAAAATGACATGTAGCATTTTTAACTATAACCACCTCTTTGACTGCAGAAAGGACAAGTTATGCAACTTGCAGATGGGAGGGAGAACCCTGTTTGAATTATTTTCTTCATTTGATTTTATAACAGCTGCACTGGGTTGCAAAAGGCTGATAAAATCTATTTTAAACATAGAGCATAAGTCCTGCAGACTAATATTATGATTCATCTACTGCCAACTTCCCCAATTATTCTCCCTTCTTAAAGTTATGTTGATAAATCAGTTGTCTTCCCATTTATTAAAGCATGTGGCAGTCTGTTTATTCAATCATCTCTAGGCCCATTTTCTAATTAAGGGAGATAATGCAGGTTCATTTCCTGTCATGGTGAACCTGACAATAGTCCACAGGTCTGCTGTCCTTAGTCCAAATGACCTCAACTACCACATTAAAATTCAAGTCTATTTGTAATGCCTGCTTTGTTTGGCCATTCCTTCCATTTCCCTTGCTCAGCTGAAGAGAAAAATACAGGCATGGGTTTTTTTTCTGCACTTCACCACTGCTCATACCCACCCACGTCAAAGACAGGAAGAGGGAAGCAAGTGAAACATTTATTTGGGAGATGGTGAATCCCAGCAAAGTTAATAATCATACAATGATCCCAAGAATAATTTTGTAAAGGGAAGAATACAAAAGGAAAACACACACAAATTGGAGCACATTTTCCATCTTGCTCTGCTGCTGGACTTGAGTAACCTCCTGCACCACTCTGGCCCCAAACCTCCATGTGTCAGCTTTGTGCAGGGATATTGATACCCACTAACTGCAGCATTAAACCATTTTTGTCGCCTCTGTTAAGATCTCCTATTTCTGAGATACTCTGATTTGTATATTGCTATTGATTCAACTTCAGTATTTAATAGTTACAGGCTAACCTAGCATCACTACTCTGGCTGAAAAACTCTCTTTAGCAGGGTTGCCTTCTACCCCTTAGGACATATTTATAGAGCATATTAAATTCTCCTGTGCAGGAAAAAACATAAATACATTTCAGCTTATCAATACATGCCAAATGGAGTGTCTTTCAGTGGGCCTTGCAAACTGCTGAGAACAAGATGATACATTTTCTCTTACTTCACAGACTCTCCTCCAATCAGTGTAAGTATGTACAAAAACCACATGTGCAGCTACTCCAGTTCCTGCAGAAACACAGGCAAGCATCACTTCGCTACATTGTCAGAATTTTTTCATGTCAACTGTGCTATACACATCCTTGCAATGTGCCTTTATGTGAAACAACTAAAACATGATGTGATCCTGGGTACCCTTTCTAGGTGACACAGGGATTTGGACTACATGATATCCACAGGTGCCAGCCAATATCTCAGCTGTCCTGGGATTCTGTGTTAAAAAAAACCAAAACAAAACCATAACAAAAACACCCACAAAACAAACAAACAAACAAAAAAACCCTAAAAAACCAACAAAAAAACACAAAACCACCCAAAAACCCAAAACAAACAAACACAACAAAAAACAAAACCCAGTGATTCTAGCACTTCTTAATAGGCTGTAGGATACAGTATATTCCAAACTCTGACCTATGGACAAATGTCTCCCTCATGCCTTTCAAAGTTGGCTAAACACCCACAGTGTGGATTTGAACTGCTTTCTGAACTGTCCCTAACTTTTCCTTCTCTGCTTATACTTTTTTATTTGCATTTGCAAGCAATAGCAAAAACATTTCCATTTCTGGGCCCTTGCTTCTGGAAACAATGACTTTAATTTTAACCTATTTCAGTCTACAAGGAAATGTTGGTTTTGTTACTCTGCTAATTATCTGAACCTCTGTCTCACTTCATCTAACTTAGAATCAGAGTGTCCTCTGGATCTAGCACACTCCATACCTTCACAAACACCTACTTAAAGACTTAAAAAACCCTCACAATTCACCTTTATATAGATAACTGTTCCCTTTATATGCATTCAAGTGACTGCTATGAGTCACTGACCAGTGAAAACAGACAGAATAAAACTATATACTAAATATATGGTACAGGAAGAAGCAGAAGACAAATTAACTTCTATTTTCAAATGTCAGGATTTTCCACCTTGTATTTTTCCGTACAATTTACATTGCACTTTTTCTGTAGAGCCTACTGAGGATGTCACAAATACTGCAGCAGAAGGGTCTATGCAGAGAGGCAGAGTTCATCTCTTTCAATCATCTGTTGAACAACAGACCTTGCTCCTAAAGGAAACTCACTGCAACAATGATGAGAAAGTCTTGGTGAAGGGAGGAGGAAAATCTCCTACAGCTTTTGCCCAGATCCCACACTTACCAAAGGCTCTAGTTCTTTGCGGTCTATGAGGTTGAGCTCTGTCACAAAATAATAAAAATGCTTGTAACAGGTGTTGACATGGGCCTCAGCACCCATAAGGATGATACGGTCGAAGTGATGGATGTAGACATGAACAAATACCCGAAAAAGCCGACAAAGTATCTTCTTGCAGATCTGCAGAAAGTTTTTTGGAAAGGGAACACCTGTGAATAGAGAAGGCAAGGTTATCATTACCATCCTGTCATCCTCCCAACACAAAAGCTTTACAGCCAAGTGTGAGATTGTAACTGCAAACTAGGTTATGACTTCCTAGGCCTCCTTTCCAATCCAGAAGATGACTTTATGCATACATTTATTTGACAGCTAGCACCAAAGACACCCAAATACTTAAACAACTTTAATGAATCAAGATTGACAGGAACAGATTCTTCTTTTCCAGTGTATAATTTAATTCCAGTATTGTAACATTCAGAAAGGTGATTTTCACTGAAGTGCACGCTGACCTATTACCATCAATGGATTTACATAATGCAATAACTGTTTGCCAAAGTGATACATACAGATACTTCTTAGAAGTAACACACTCTTCCTGCTCATGTTGCTCAACATGGCATTTCACAGCACCAAATTTAATAAAAAGTTAAAAATAACTGATCAAAGGACTCCTTTGCTTTCAACTTCCTCCCAGTTACATGTACCAATCTGATTGCTCCTTTAATAAAAAATCTCTTGAAGAGATACAGGAATGGCTCTTTCAACTTTTAAAGTTACACTACTTTGCAGCTGGAGACTCCAAAGCAGAGCACCATTTACTAATATTGTCAGGCATCAATAATGGGGCATGAATAATTTCTTCAGAACTCTCCATTAAGGACTGATTTTGCATGGAGTTATGTGCCACTAAACTGTCCCCAAAATCTTACAAGTTTCATCTCCTTCTATAATTGTCTCTCAGACATAATGACTTTAGTGCCATGCTTGGAACTTTACTGCTACTTTGCTTTGTTGCACAGTTTCCTGATTTTTTAGTTATCTAATTCATGTTTTAGTTGGATTTGAACGACATAAATGCAGCTTTTTCTTTTTAAAAAAATAAAAAACCTCACAGCCAAGCATTTTCATACTGCCTAAAAGCCCAGTTCATGCACTGAACAAGATAAACATTTATTATGAAAGAAGGTGGAGATAATAAATAAACACTTTTGCGAGCTTTGTAGTTTTCAGATTTTAGTCTCCTGCTAAATATTGCTCAGCATTCACAAGAATGGTGAATTAATGGACAAATTTGCCAGTTTCACTGAAGGTGATGTGAGGACATACAGAGAGAATTTCCATACCAAACCCAGATTTTTGATTACAGATGACATAAATTATCAACTGTGGCTGTAACCAGTCTCCATCTGAACAATATAAACATTTATCTTATTTTGGAATCCCTGGCCAAGGACGTACCAGGATATATCCACTGTGGATATGAACACTGGTGTGTCCATCAGCATATGAGTCTGGAAACACATCAGCCTGCAGAAGTATCAGCCTGTAGAAGTATACTTCTACATTTGCCACTGCTGAAGTGCAGATAATGTTGGGAAATGTCTTGCTTTTTTTGGCCTGTACTGTGTTCACCAGATATTTCAAAATCCTTTTGAAATAATTTTAGGTAGCTTGTAGAGATGCAATGGTGTCCTTCTTATTCCTGATGCACAAACCAAGGATCAGAAAAATAGCTGCATCTATCAAAGCACTGCTACATTATTTTCTTAAGAAAGGTTTGCTTTTTGTTGTCAGATACATTTATTTAAGTGCTAAAGCTATTATGGAAGGTCATGGAGGAGAAAGTTTGAATGCTCAAGACATGGGTAAATTACAGAACCGACAGTATGTACAGATGTCTTGTTTAAGTCACAACTCCACACAGTTAGCCAAGCACCTGGATTATGACAACTGTTGCTATTTCCAAGGGCAAAATGAATATAATCTATCAAAAACTTAATAGAAACTCCAAGTAACTGCTCATTAACCAGGGGGATCACATTCTCATTCCAGCCATCAGAGCATGGCTAAATTCAAGAATGATTACAGAAGCAACCTGCTTTACATTTCTGTAAAATTTACCCATACCAGAAATTAAAAAATATACCCAAGAAAATGTGAAGTCTTAAAAATGGGGGAAGATGAATAACTGGCTCTTTTCACTGCAAGCTAGTTTGCCAAACTGAGAGATGAATTCTTGAAAGCCCTGTATTTTCTAATCCAGACCAGGTATGTTCCAAAATGGAGGATAATTAGTTTCATCTTCCAAGGGCTGATAAATAGTTGTTACTGAAGAATGTTGCTGTAATGAAGACATTCCTACTTCTGTATTAACTGACTAAAACAATCTGGATAAACCAAGCTGACAGACCCTTTACCTTCTCTTCAGGCCATGTTCCCACTTCACAGCTATAGGCAGTAAGTGCAAAAGCCACAGAACACTGTTTCTGCTGCAAGAGAGGACTTTCATCTGACATTTTTTCAGATGCATTATACAGTCAATTTGAGAACATGTAAACAACACATTAAAAAAATAGTATAGAACAGCCTACGATTCGTAACAAACTTGCAGTGTTTCCCTCTGCTCCTACATGAATCAAGATTTCAGACAAATTGAGTACCTTCACTTGCTGTTGCAGAATTTTTCCTATTTTGTGGAGTTGTATCTGATTCATTTTCTCTTAAATAAATAATAAAATTCAAAGAAACATTGCTGCTATCACAAATATATCATTTGGGCACAGCAGAATTGGTAGTGGCTCTCTGATTTCTTTCCTATTCCAGCAAAACTCATTTACAAACTGACACAGTTTTAAAGAGTTAAAAAGCATCTCATAGTATCATTGAAAGCAACTGATAACTGTGTAGTGAGCTACCTATACTCCTCAGCCTTGAAAAGCCTGTCAGCCTGTCTGTCTTTCCCTGGCACACAGAAAAGGCTTGAAATCTGGTCAGCCTCAAGGCACAAATACACATATTGAGGTGCTTGCAGCCCTGTTTTGAATGTACATCCTGCTGTTCTTTGTGTTCAAAATTAGATAAAAGAGAATAGATTCTGACCTCAATTACAATAGAATGAACACAAAGTAATGCCGTCAAAATTGAAAAAAATCAGAACAAAATGATTCTAGATTTATATTCTGAGGTCAGATTTTGGCCTACTGTTTTGTTCCCATTGAAAGTCTAAAGTTATAAATAAATCAGCCACAGAACAGAGTAATTATAAGTGACTCTTGGGAACAGACTAACTTAGATATAGATCATTTGATTTGTTAAGAGGCCTGTTCTCTGTCCTTCATCTCAGCCACAGCAGTCTTTGCCTTAGAATCATCAAAGTTGAAAGAGACCTACAAGATCATCAAGTCCAACTCTCCACCCAGAACTATGACTGTAGTCTCTAAAACACTAAACCACATCATCAGCACCAGACCCAGATGCCTCTTGAACACTTCCAGGGATGGTAACTCCACTACTTACCCCAGGCAACCTATTCCAGTGCCTGACAACCCTGCAGTTAATATTTTTTTTCTAATTACTGATCTGAACCTCCTCCCCTATCTCAGTTTAAGGCCATTTCCTTTTGTCCTCTCACTGCAGGTGCAGCGGGACTGACCAATCCCAATGTCCAGTCAGCTTCTGGTTCCAGTTCCAGGAACTTCTCCAGTTAACCAGGACTGCTGATAGATGATTGAGAGGGGCTTGGCAAGTTCTTCCACCGTTCTCTCATTCCTATGGGGTGGATCCCATCAGAGCCCATAAACCTGTGTCTAACTCGCAAAGCAGGTCACTAACCACCTCCTCCTGGATTATGTGGGCTTCACTCAGCTCCCTGTCCCTAACTTCCAGCTCTGGGGGCTGCATATCCTAAGGACAACTGATCTTGGTATTAAAGACTGAGACAAAAAAGGCATTAAGTACATCAGTCTTTTCCTCATCCTTTGTCAATACACCACCTTCTGTATTTAACAAATGATGGTGACTCTCCTTGGCCCTCCTTTTGTTGCCAAGGTATTTATAGAAAGTTTTTTCATTGTCCTTAACTGAAGGCCAAATCAAGTTCTAGCTGAACTTTGGCCATTCTAATCTTCTGCCTGCATGGTCTCATTGCAACCCGATAGCCCTGTGAAACTACCTAGTCCTCCAGAGACAATAGATTTTTTTCCCTAAGTTCCAGCTGAAGTTCTCTGTTTAACCAGGTCAGTCTTATTCCTGGCAACTTGTATTTCTACATGTGGAGACAGTCTGCTTCTGAATATTTAACAGTTCTTTTCTAAAACACATCCAGCCTTCCTGGACTCCTTTGCTCTTCAGGGCTGAGTCCCAAGAGACTCTTGTCAATCAATCTCCTAGACATGCCAAAGTCTGCCTGCTGGAAGACCAAGGTGAAAGCTCTGCTGGTGCTCCTCCTTAATTTACTCAGTATTGAAAACTAACATTCATGGTCACTATGCCCAAGACAGCCCTGACCACTACATAACCCACCAGTCCTTCTCTATTTACAGTCAACCAGTCTAGCAGGGCACCTCCTCTAGTAGGCTCATTTACCAGTTGCGTAAGGAAGCTGTCATCCTTAGATTCACAGACACACTTCAGGAACTTTCTAGACTGCTTTCCCTCTGTCGTGTTGCATTTCCAGCAGACACTTGGCAAGCAGAAGTTGCTCACAAGTATTAAGGCTGGAGACTGTGAGACTTCTGCCAGTGCTTGTAGAATGCCTCATCAGTCTGTTCATCCTGGCTGGGTGGTTTAACAGGCCATCCCACCACCTGCCTTGCTGATCTTTGCCCTGATCTTCATCCATAGGCACTCAACCTTGTAATCTTCATCATCATCACTTTCAGTACAATCAAAACACTCCCTAATGTACAGAGCTACCCCACCTTCTCTTCTGCTTTGCTTATCCCTTCTGAAGAGTTTATAGACATCTATTGCAGCACTCCAGTCATGAGAGTCATTCCAAGTTTCCATGATGGCAAATACATCATCGCTTTCCTACTGCACAATGGTTTCCAGCTCCTTCTGCTTGTTATCCACGTGCATTGATGGAGGTGCACTCCAGCTCGGCTGTCCATTGCACCAGCTCTGGCACGTCACCCTCATGCTGCATCCATTTGTATGCAGGCACTAATACATATATATCTTATGTATATAAAATAATATATCAATCTAA